ATGGGAGATTTCAATGGAATTGTAGACAATAAACTGGACTATACAGCAAAAGCAACACGACAAAATAGGAAGACTCTCCCTAAATCCTTTTTTAAAATGACAGATGAATTAAACTTAAAAGATATATGGAGAGAAAGAAATGCTAAAATTCAACAATATACTTTTTATTCCAATAGACATTTATCATGGTCCAGAATAGATATGATTTGGACATCAACAGAATTATTATCTAATATTCAAGAAATAAATATTGAAACAAGTACGTGGGCAGACCACAATCCAATGACAATTAAATGGAAAGGACAAAAAAGAAGATCTAGATGGACATTAAACAATACTATTTTAAAAGAAAAAAAACTTTACACAATGGATGGAAAAAGAATTGGCCTTCTTCTTTAATGAAAATAAAAAAGAAGATACTTCAATACAGAATGTTTGGGATACAATGAAGGCATATGCAAGAGGATTAATAATAGACTATATAAAGAAAAAGAACATTAGGAAGAGGCAAATGATTAAAGCTCTAGAAGATGACCATAAAAAACTAGAAAAAGAATTACAGAAAACGCCACAGAAAAAAGATGTTAAACTCAGAATGGATATAATCAAACATAAAATGGATCAAGTAGAGAAAGAAGAACTGGCACAAAAAATTAGAAGTGCTAAACAGAACTATTTTGAAGATGCAAATAGGCCAGGTAGATGGCTAGCATATAAATTGAGAAAAGAGAAAGAATCAAGGAAAATATTACAGTTAATAGACGATCAAGGTCAAATTTGTTATGGTAATAAAGAGAAAAAGGCAATTATTCAAGATTTCTATGGACAACTATATAAACAGGAGGATTTTGATGAGGGAAAAATTAAACAGTATTTACAAATGCTAACCTACCTAAGATATCTGATGAAACTGGGAAAATGTTAGAAAGTGCTATAACAATGACACTTAACAGACAGAACAATGGAAAAGCACCAGGACCAGATGGTCTCCCGGCAGAATTTTATAAAACATTACAAGAATCGTTGAGCACTTCACTGTTAGAAGTCATGAATGAAGTTATGATAAACAAGAAAATACCTAAAACATGGTCAGAAGCTTATATTACACTTATCCCAAAAGAAGGGGTCGACCCATTACAAATTAAGAACTATAGACCTATTTCCTTATTGAATGCAGATTATAAAATCTTTGCTTCAATCTTGGCAGAGAGGCTTAAAAATACTTAAACAACTTTATTCACTCTGATCAGAATGGATTTTTACCAAAGAGACAAATTAAAGACAATATGAGGGTAATCCTGGACACATTGGAATATTATGAGTCGCATCCTGAAAAACAAATGGCTTTGATATTTTTAGATGCGCAAAAGGCATTTGATAACGTGAATTGGAGATTTATGTTATTATTATTGGAACAGATGGGCTTTGCTAGAAAATTTATCCAAGCAATAGAAGCCATATATTATAAGCAAACGGCAAAAGTAATGATAGATGGAGAATTTACAGACTCTATTAATATTAAAAAAGGTACAAGACAAGGATGCCCATTATCTCCTTTGTTATTTATATTGACTTTGGAAGTGCTAAATAGAAATATTAGAGAGGATACAAACATAAAAGGAATGAAAGTTAAAAAGGGGGAATTTAAATTGCAAGCCTTTGCAGATGACTTGGTTTTTATCTTGGAAGATCCTGTAGAGATAGCTTTGAAACTATTGGAAAAGATAGAGATATATGGTGAGATGGCTGGCTTGAAAATAAATAAAGACAAAACAAAGATTTTGACAAAGAACATGCTGTTAAGACAAAGAGAAGAGCTGGCAGACTTATTGAAAATTCAAGTTACGAACAAAGTTAAATATTTGGGGATATATTTGACGTCAAGATGTACTACACTGAAAGATAATAACTATATTAAACTTAAACAGCAGATAGCATCTGATTTGAAAAAATGGGAAAACTTACAATTGTCATTGATAGGCAGAATTTCAACAATTAAGATGAATATTTTACCTAGAATTTTGTATTTATTCCAAACAATACCAATTAGGTTAGGTAAGGATTACTTTGAAGAACTGAATAAAATTGTGCTGAAGTATATATGGCAAGGTAAGAAAGCGAGAATAAAATTAAAACTTTTACAGGATGCTAGAATTAGAGGAGGATTTGGCCTCCCTAATTGGGAGTTGTATTATCAAGCTGCAAACTTAATGTGGGCTAAAGAATGGATAACGTTAAGAAAGACCAGATTGTTGGCATTAGAAGGACATGATTTATTATTGGGTTGGCATGCTTTTTTATGGTATAAGGGAACTAAATCACAGGGTTACTTTAGAAGGCATTATATACGGGAATCGTTATGGTTGAATTGGGAGAAAACTAAGAAACAATGTTATTTGAAAATCCCAGTTTGGTTATCAACTATTGAAGCTTTTTCTTATCCTATAACCTATAAGAAGGAACAAACAGTTAGATATGGGGAATTATTAGATTATTAGATGCAAAACGATGCAAAATTTAGAAGAACAAGGCATAAAGATGAATTGGTTTTCATATGCGCAAATACATTCAAGGTATCTTAAAGATTCTAAAATGGAAGGATTCTATGATAAATTGACTGATTTAGATAGGATTTTGACAGGTACTGATGAAAAAGTGATTAAAAAATTATATAATTATTTGTTGGAAATTAAATTAGAGGAAGAGCAGGTTAAAGAAACAATGATTGCTTGGGGGAAGAATTTTGGATATGGGATTGATTTAGAGAAATGGCAAAAATTGTGGTCTCAAAATTATAAAATGACAATGTCAACAGCATATAAAGAAAATTTGTATAAGATGTTTTACAGGTGGCATTTTCCCCCGACAAGAATAGCAAGAATGTTCAAGAATAAATCTGAAAAGTGCTGGAAATGTCAACAGATACCTGGCTCATATTACCATATGTGGTGGACTTGTGAGGACGCTAGAAAATATTGGACTAGAATTCGCATATGGTTGGAAAAAATGACAAAGAAACATATAGATTTGAAACCAGAGATTTTTTTAATTGGGAATCTTACCTGATACATATAATAAAAACTTAAAGTATTTGATTGTAAATGTATTAACAGCGGCTAGGATTGTATTTGCTAAAAATTGGAAGAATGAGAAAATACCATCAGAAGAAGAAGTTATTAAGAAAATATTGGAATGTGCAGAAATGAGTAGATTGACATTTGAAATTAGAGAACAAGAAGATAAACAATTTTATGAAGTTTGGGATCTTTTTTTATCAATGGTTGGATAATATAATATAATAATAAAATATTTAGAGACCTAGGAAATAATGAATATACATTTTTTGGGGGGGGGTTTGATAATACTTTTATAATATTTTATTAAGATAGACTTGGTATGATTTTATGATTCGTTAGAAAATAAATTAACTAAACTATAGTTATCTCGCTTAAGTATGAATTAGTTAAATTATAGTCAAATGATTGTTTAATAATGATATTAGGATATATAATTGTTGATTGATAATGAGTTATTATGTAATATAATTATTATAATGACTATGAAATGGATGCACAAAAAGGAGTGGTAAACCAACCGATACACTGTCTGTAAATTTATGAAGGATGATGATGTTTTTATGTTATGTTTTATGTGTTTTTTGGTTTGTTGTTAAAATCAATAAAAATTTTACTTAAAAAAAAAAAAGACAAAGGCAGCAGCCCCCACCTTTTAAAGTTTAATCTGCGAATTCTGTTTCTTCACAGATAAAAGGCTGCTTCCAATTAATTAGTTCCAACAAGAAAGAGCCTTGCCAAGTTGTTTATCAAGGCTGCCAAAAACCCAGAGATAAGAACTAGTTTACAAGAGTTTGCAAATACTAACTATGATGTCCATGAGGCTGAGCTTCAGAGCATCTTTGCCTTCTGCAAAGAACGCTTATTCAAACCTGGCTTTTATCCTCTTGAGGGAGGGGCCATTACTTTGCAGCCTTACTCCCAAGTTACCTGTGCTTCTGTAACTGCTCTCTCCTACGATCAATCCTGCGCGCATGCGCACTTGGCACAGGCTCCTCGGGAACCTCCTCATCACTGCTGCCAGTCCCCACAATCTCTGAAGGCAGCAGTCCACTCCCTAATGGTCCTGGCCCCTCATCTGATTCCTCGTTCTCCTCCACTGTCCGCACCTGCTGCCGGCTAACCACAACACCGTCCTTCCTTCTGGCTATCCCCTTATTTGCTACATCTGTTTTATCGATGGTACTGGCTCCTTCCATTGTTATGGACAATTATAGCAAAAGACGGAAGAAGAGGTGAAGAGCACAGACATAGTAAATTACCTGCCTTCCATTGAGGACCTGTATACTGCACGAGTCAAAAAGAGGGCTGTGAAAATATTTACAGACCCCCTCACATCCCAGACATAAACTGTTTCAGCTCCTACCCTCAAAACGACGCTATAGAGCACTGCACACCAGAACAACTAGACACAAGGGCAGTTTTTTCCTGAATGCCATCACTCTGCTAAACAAATAATTCCCTCAACACTGCGCAACTATTTACTAAGTCTGCATTACTATTACTATTAATCTTCTCATCACTCCTATCACCCATCCGCTCCCACTTGTGACTATACGATTGTAACTTTGTTGCTTGTATCCTTATATTTATATTGACTGATTCCTAGTATGATTTGATTGTTTATTTGTACCCTATGACTATATTAAGTGTTGTACCTTATGATTCTTGACGAATGTATCTTTTCTTTTTATGTACACTGAGAGCATATGCACCAAGACAAATTCCTTGTGTGTCTAATCACACTTGGCCAATAAAGAATCCTTCCTTCCTTCCTTCCTTCCTTCCTTCCTTCCTTCCTTCCTTCCCTGCTATCCCCTTATTTGTTACATCTGTTTTATCGATGGTGGTGGCTTTTTCCATTGTTATGGACAATTATAGCAAAAGACGGAAGAAGAGGTGAAGAGCACAGACATAGTAAATTACCTGCTCCTCATCACATGTGGCTGCTATGTATCCCATTACGCTCTGGACTTCCATGTGTGTCCCACCTTTGGTCAAGAAGTATTTGATTAGACCATACAGAGATGTCCTGATTGTCCTAAGATCATCTGGAAGCAAGTCACTGTCCCTGGAGTGGTTTCTAACAGAAACAAGAATTGCTAATTAAAACATAACAATCAGTTGTAATGTACTTCTTTTCACAAGACATTCTCTCTTGTTCCTTAAGTACCTGTGTCTGTTACACTGATGTTGTCAGGGCAGAATTTCAAGATCGATTTCCAGCCTGACAGCAAAATGAATAAATACATAGATTTCGAATGTAAGAGTTTTAAAAGACATAAAAAAAATAAATAGGAGAAAGTAATCTTTTATAAAGCCCTTGCTTAGATGTATTTTACTTTTTCGATTTAAACATATTTTTAATATGAATGCTATAGTATGATTTTACACTGAACATTTGTTTATCGTCAGCATTTGGAGGGAGGTTGTTTGTTTTATTTTCAAAATAAAATAAAATTTAACAAAACAAAAATTCCTAAATGGGATACTCTTCCAAGAAAAGATTATTATGAAAGTTTATGTAAACTGGTTCATACTAAGCCATGAACTTGGTGGAAGAATTTAGGCCAGTGCTGCCCTGGCTGCACCTACCTCACAGGTTTATTGCTCCTTGAAGAAACACTAGATGTCAATGTTTTCTTAACTGGGCATTGTTTGGGACACATGACAAGATTTAACATATGCCAGGATATATAATCAGTTGAGGGGGGGCATTCATAAGGGTTAAGCTACAATGCAGTTTGCATAGTTTCAGCCTAGTATGCTGTGTGTACCTTGTAAGGTGTTTTTAAGCCATGGTTTATGCAATTGAACCTATAATTGTGGTTTATTCAATAAACTACAGTTAAAACCACAATGAAGTAAATCAGCTTAGTGCAATGTGTGAATTCAATATAGGACATTCCAGTACATCCATCCTATATCCAATTACAACTGATAGAAGAAGGCAACTGCTGTAATGTTACAGACACTTGCCAGCTGCAGTTCCCAGATGAGAGCAGCAAGCATCAACTACTATTTTCAACTCTATTTATATTAGAATTTCAATTTTAAACAGAAGCAAAAAATTCTGGACACTTAACTGGATACACCCTTAGACAATTTGGAATTGGTATACATGCATGTCCCCCATATAAAATCATATTTTACATCCATTATGAAACTGATAATAAGGAAATAGAAAAAAAATTAGACTCCTCCCTAAAAGAGTACAAGCACCCTTTGCAATTTTCTTTGGAAAAGTCTCATAGATATAATTGACAGTGTTCCTTGCAAGGATGCAAAAATAGCTGCTGCTCATAATATGCAACTATTATAGCAGCAATGGTATTTTTCAAAAATTCAAAGACTTTTCAGCATGTAAAATAAAGAGCTGGACTTTGAAAAGCAAAGCCCAAGTCAAAAAAGGAACACAAGATTCCATACCCATAATAAATTCTCAAAGTATCCAACAAAAACTGCACACCATATTTTTTCCGGAAGAGCCTTCTGCTATCTTTGATAATTGTGGAAAGGTATTGGATATGGCCTAAAAAAGAAATCAGAAGTCCTTATTAGAACAGAGCTACACCTGTAAATTGTATGGATCACTGATTAGACACAGATAGTGTTTTAGGACTATCTTAATTTAGGACTGCTTGTTTAACAACCATGCACAGTTATAATGTGCTAAAAAAGCAACATATGACCAGTCCTCGCACTTATGATAATCAAAATGCCCCCATGGTCATGTGACTAAAATTTGGGCACTTGGCAACCAACATGTATTTGCAACAGTTGCAGCACTTCAGGGTCACATAATCACCATTTGTGACCTCCCCAGGGGACTTCCAACAAGCAAAGTCAATGAAGATAGCTGGAGTTGCTTCACAACCATTTGCTTAAGAACCACAGAAATTTGCTTAATGACTGTGGCAAAAGAAGGACATAAAATTGGGCATGACTCAGATATAAACACATTGCTTAGCAACCCAAGTTCTAATCCCAAATGTGGTTATTAAATCAAGAACTACCTGTATGTGATCTATCTATAGCCCATATTGATAGAGTACCAGGATTGTATTTATCCCAACTGACCTCAGCCAAACCTCCTATTCCAGTGGTGGCTAACCTTTTTGTGCTCCTGTGCCAAAAATTGTGCGCGCGCTTGCGCTCACTCGCTCACATGCCAGTCCCCAGAAGGCAATGCATCCCCTACCATGCCCCCTGTGCATGCGCACGCAATCCCCCCCCCTTACCTGCACTGTGCCTCCCAGCTGATTTTCAGCCGGTTTGAGGCCTTTTTCAGCCTCCCAGGCTTGAGGAAAGCCTCTGCAGCCTGAAAAATAGGCCTGTTCCGTCACTTGCAGAATGGGCTTATTTTTCAGGCTGCAGAGGCTTTCCTCAAGCTTGGGAGGCCGAAAAAGGCCTCAAACCGGCCAAAAATCAGCTGGGAAACATGCGCATGCACAGTGAGGTAAGTTTGCCTGTGGCTTGCATGTCAGCACAAATGGCTGTGTGGCATGCGTGCCATAGGTTCGCCATCACGGTCCTATACAGTATCCCAATTTCCTAATCCTTTTCCAGGATCCACAAACATTGTCTTATAAGCAATATGATCTCAATCAGTTCAAAGCTGTATAATCCCAGAACCCATTTTTCAACTTCACATAGGTTCCAGCAAAGCAAAGTGAAAGCTGGTTAGAGCAACACTCTAAACCATGGTTTAAAGTAAGTACAGCTAAGAGCCTAAAAGCATGAATTGCGTTCATAGAGTATGACATCTTTTAGAAGCATTTATCTGCTTTTATTTTCTTCCTATTTCTTGCCCCCGAAAGCCTGATCTAAATCCAGAAAAGCCCTTTTCATTCCATAAAATCCAGTGGGAGATGGCTTAGATTCTACTACTTTACTCTTTGTTCAAGAAAAGGAAAAAGAAATACTCAAAGGTTAAATGAAATGTAGGTTCCTTTATACAGCTCCAGTAGCAATAGGGTGAAATAAAAAGTCTTCCCTTCATCCCGTTTTCATTGAATTCAATGTGCAACATGCCAGCCTAATTATATTAATTTAGAACTAGGCAGGGGCCATTGCAATCAAGCATTTTATGTTTTGATGTCCACTTTAAGAGTATCTTTCCATTTACTACTATAACTCTCCTGTTTATCTGTTTGTAACTTTCAATTAGCCAAAAAGTACATCATTGCACAAAAGGTTTTGAATAAATTATCTCAAATTGGCCAACTTAAAGAATGCATACAATACTCATTACTCCTCTGTAATTGAAATTTCAAGTATCTTCATCTCAGTTGTACTGGCAAAGTTGTAGCCACTACACTGTCACAATATTCATCTGATTGTAAATTCTGATACTCCCTGCCAGTTTCCCACAAGCAAAATCAATGGGGAAGCCGGCAGGAAATCAGAAGCCACTCTCACTGCTTTTTTTACCCACCTATGCTCATTTTTGTTTGTTTGTTTGTTTGTTTAAGTAAGAAAATACTTCTGAAAATGACCCAATGGATTATGGGTTGTCTTGTAAAACTATATTCCTTTTGATTTCAATTGTACGATGTTATTGTTGTGTTTCCTTGAGTGCTTATATAATCAATAAACAGGTTACAACATTAAGTAAAATCATAACTGTTACAACAGTAACAAGCTCACCAATTCGGAATGGGAAGTCCCCACGGTTCCATATGCTGAAGTCAAAAAGTAGGTGCTGATGCATTTGCTGCAAAAGCTGTACATTTTTTTCCACAGAGACCTGTTCTATCAATAACTGGACTGCCATTAGTACATTCACATCCATGAATCTGCTGGGCACCTAAAAAAAAGGAGGGACTATATTGTTTATTAAGAAAAAAACCAAACAGAGTGATTTCTATATTTCAAACAGTAGGTTGTTGTCAAATATTTTTTTAAAGTCACTTTTTTGTTTGCTTGTTCATTTGTGAGAAAAGTCTGCCAAGTTTTCAGCAGTAATGTTTGTAGTAGTTGTCCTCCCCCAGCAAAGGAAGAAATGCTCTTCCTGACAACCACCCACCTTCCCCCGCTGGCCTTCAAGCATCAGTCTAACAATATTATGCACAAACTGAGTGAGAGTAAAGTAAGCAAAAAGAGATTATCATCCTGACTGGAGAACAAAAAAGCAGCCCAAAACTATGTATGTTCTGTAGATTTATTTGTAACACAATGAAGAATAGGCAAATTATCCAAATACGATATTTGGAAGATCCATCCAATATAGCCTGAAACAAAATACTTCATTGCCTTTTTTCTCTGAGCATTTTTGTTATTCCTAAAACAAAAGGCCTGCGTTTTAGGGAGATGAAGCTTAGGAAGATGAGCCTCTAAAAGTATTCCAAATTTCAGATCAAAATTTGCCAAAAAATGGTAATTTAAAGCAATTATTATTTTCCAATCTCACAGATACAAAATTCAGTTCGATATTCAAACAAAAGCTCACAATATACAATATCCAAAATATTTTGTAGCTTTGGATACCTTTTGCAAAAGGACTCCTAATGTTGCAATTCCATGAGTGTGAATAAAATTATCTTGGTTGATTGGATGCCTTTGAATAAAATGCTTTATCATCAAGATGAAGGTTGCAATGATATTCTTCTCCAAACGAGCCTCTGTAAAAATGGAATGCAGACTTTAGTTCAAGGGCAAAAAAGTAGAACTATCACATAATGAAAAAAGATATTAAAAGCAGGGAATGCATCTCTATTTGGTCCACTGCTCCCTTTGCAATAACGGAAAAAGCTAATTATGTCCTTACCTGAAGCCTTGGTGGATGTTAATACAACCCAATCTCCTTCAACAGGTGTCAACAATTCATGGGGCAGAGTTTCTACCTCTGGCCTCTCAGGCAACTGCCCATCAAGGTAACTGATATGCTCCAACAGTGGGAACAGAACATTTAATCCACCTATGCAGTTAATCATATCCTTTAGAAATACAACAGGGTGAGGGAAACAAATGGGAGAAGGAATAATCACCAATCTGAAACCAACAGCAGGAAAGGCTTTTTAAACACATGTCATACCCACATAAAACTATTAGAACAGCACAGAGCAATTGACACGTTGGGAATATCTGTAGTACTACTAGAGAAGTTTGGAATTTAGGGGAAAAAATGAGCCAAATTTTCAGGAAAGAAATCAATGCATGGCATAAATGCAGATAAACACATCTTTTAATGCATTTTCACAGGAGAAAATAAAGATCCACAAAAGACTACAAATGGTTCCCGGTTAATCAATCAATAATGAGCTGCTGCATTTAGCTTAACTTCTCAGGGGAGCAGTTAGCTAATTTCAGGTATCAGCTAAAAAGATCCAAATTTTTTCCAAGATATGCAAACAAAGAGCCCAATTCTGTACAAAGGGGGTATACACTCACTTTTTAGTGGTTTAGCCAAAGATATTAGCTATTACTGACGTTCTATAAAACCACAGAGATGCACAAAAATCTCTGTCTGCAGAAGGAACTTCTTTTATCATCTGGAACTATCACTATTAAGCGGAAATCTACCCCCATGACATCATTTTGAAAGATTGCAGCTTTGTATTTAGCTTTTGTCATGTTCAACCCTTTTATATCTATATAGTTCCCCTTACCCCCAAATTAAAAATGGAATGGGAAATCAATTGATGATGCCATGCATTGTTACTATATGATATGGAAGTTTCTCGTGACATTGCTATCATCCAAGTCATATAAAGCATTACAGCATTAACTGAAATTAATCACTGAAAATGCTCACCTTGATGTCCCAGTTTACTATTTTGATCCCTGTTAACCTCCCATGTAAAAGATTTGCAGAAAGGTCAAGACAGATAGGGCTTCTGCAGGCCTAATCAAATGAAAAAGAAAAAATGGGCTATAACACATTCATAAAGCAAACTAGAGGTTATCTTTTGAACTCTTTTTTATGTGAAACCCAATAAAAAATGTGAAACCTAATAAAAACTTCATGAATCAGCAATACTTTCTATGTGCTACCATAATCATGAGTTATTCTTTCTGATTTTATCTGCCTGTCCCATTAGGTATGCAGATAAATGTTGCAGTTCCCATCTATTAAAAAGTTCCATTTGGTGAGGGCTGGATGATGGGCCTTATCTGCCACGTGGAACAATTTTTCTCGTGAAACTGATCCCAACCTTTGTAGCCTTTTCTCAAAAAGTGGATGTTGTGGACAAGGTTGGGGATCTCAAGGAACAGTGAACTGATGAGGTAAATACTCTGTCTGCAATACTAAATATGCTCTTTTATAATCTTTGAATAATAATATTGTTGTTTAATTGTGGGTGTTGTTAAGATTGTCACTTTATGGTTTGTTTTAGGTGGGAAAGAAAGTCATGTTTTAGGTGGAAGAAGGAAAGAAAGAAAGAGTTTTGCTCTTAATTCAACAACTATACACTTGCCAGACAGTTACACACCTGTGGTTGCTATGTAAATACTTATCCCAGTAAAGAGGGAGTACAGATTCATGCCCTAGTTACATTCAATGCCAGACTGATTGACTGGCTTCAAATCTGCTAGAAAACATTGTTAAGCAATCTCCACCCCATTTCCACCACCTACCACTCCTTTTGAAGAATGCCTTTGTTTTTTATGCTTAAAAGGCAGTCTTCATTGTATGTATTATATTTAAAAGCAACAGGTTTGAAAAATATACTGCAGTAGATGATCTGCATGAAGCTTTTCACAATATTTTTGTAGCAGATGGATAGGCTTAAAATTTTAAATATTTGAAAGTATTTGAAAATTTGAACATATTTAAAATGCCACAAAGTAGGAAAGAATTGCTTTAGACCTTCATTCATTCTTTAGCAACTAGCATTCTATTCAGAGGAGAGGACTTTTTGCTTTTTTAGCATGGTAAATAGCTGGAGGTTAAATGACCTTCCTCCAGTTTCTCTACTTCTAATGCTAAATCACTTTTACCAGGTAGATGAAAAATATGTTGACTACTACCTTAGGAGCATAGTGAAGAAGTATTTTGCTAGGCAAATCTGCCAGTTCAGATTCTTGGGACTTCCAAGGAGTTAAACAATTTGGACCTTCAACATACAGAAAACAGACATTGAATTTTATGTTTGTAGTCACAATTTTTAATTACATTCTCTCTTGTTTCAAAATAAATTAAGTTTGAAATTTTCTCTCCACATTAAAAGCAGCAGACCAATTCACAACAGAAAGGTGAGTGAATGCCTCTATTTGCAGATAACATTTCAAACTTGTTTTCTGATCAAATGGGGAATTTCATTTCTTTCTAAGGACATGCTTATCTTAAAAAACAAGTTACATGTTTAGATTTAGCATTTCATAACCTGAAATTTTGCAGCTGTATTGAACTCCCATAATTCTCAGCCAAACAGAGAAAAGCAGTGGATCAACATGTAATATATTTTAGCAACCACTCATTTTAATCTTCAAAAAAAAAAAAAAAAAACATCCTCCAAGGGGGAGTTCATCACTACTTTTCACTTATTTTTGGAATAAAACAGAATTATTGCAGTCATGATGCTCAACAATCCAAAATAATGCTTCTACATTTCAGCCTGAGAGACATGAATATTCTCTGCAAGCCTTTACTATGTTTAAGCCCAATATTGTCACAGATGTGAGTCAGACACAGATCGGTAGGATTATCCAGGGTTCCCTTTTAATAAGAAATTGAAGAAGGATCTTAAAAATGAACACTAGAACATACACATTGCATTATGTGGGTGGTTAAGTCTGTAAAGTAGTGAGAAAGCAGAACACAACATAGGAGGAAAAATCAACGCAAAATTTATATTTTTCATAAAAGGCAAAACAACAACAACCCAACTGTATATGAAATAGTTATGAAAAGCAATGGTCAGATCAGAGAAACAAGGATATAAATAACTTTTTGACTCACAAAATCAGGGAAAACGTAATCTCTCACCGAAACTGCTCACCTGTCAAATATAAGGCTTTGATGTGAGATAGTTGTAAGGCTTCATGGAATATAATAACAGAGCCAAGCTGGCCTTCCAGAGAGGTGGGGCAACCCCACTCACTATCTTGAGTTCCTGCAGAGATCAGCTTGGTGATAAGTTCTGATTTCCCCAGCAGGCCACTCCAGCTGCCTGGTCCAAGGATCCCCCCAAATGAGGTCCGAGGAGGTATAACTGGGGATGAAAAAGGTGGGTCCGGGATTTGCGATGGTGGAGGAAGAGTTGTTCTCTGACCAGCTGAACCAATGCAGCATGAAGTAAATGGCTAGAGAATTTTTTCCCCAGTGGAAAAAAAGAGATGAACAATTAAAATAGAATTGGATGCATTCAAATTTAAAGTGGCCAATATAATCTAGAGAATGAGTTTTAAAAAGATAACGTATGTATCTTTTTGCCTCACTGGCAGAAGGGTTGTCCGTATAAGCACACATATATATGGGCAACAAGGTTTCCGGTACTTAAAAAAGGACTCTAGGAGCCACAATATCCCTGCCCTTGATTAGCTGTAATTTTAAGGTGCTTCTTTAAATTATCTTTGACATTTTAATTCCTGTTTGTTAAGGAGTTCCATCTGGCAGGTCCCAAGACACCAGTCTTTGCGGCCATGGCACCCACTCTGTGGGATATCATTCCTCCTAAGGTGAGACTTGTCCCATTCTGATGTCCCTCAAAACATGGTTGTGTCAACAGGTTTGGTAATCTCAGGGAATGGTGAACTAGCGAGGTGGCTACAATGTCAACTATACTGAATATGTTCTCTTTTAGTATTTTAATGTTGATGTCTTTAAATTGTGCAATGTTTTTAATTTGTTTATTTTATGGTTTTTTAAAATTGTATGCTACCCAGAATCACATTTTGTGAGAGCTATATAAATATATATAAATACGATGGATGGATCGATGGATATTTTCACTGCTTTGGAAATTAATTTTCCCCTACATATGATACCTTCTCTCTGATAAATATGCTCATTTATTGTAAGGTCTCATCACTTTTTATCCTTTATCCTTTTATTCTTTTTTAGGACCTAACTGATGCAAACACCGTACATCAAGTGGATGGGGAAGCAAAGAATAATTAATTATACTTATAGACAAACTGTCCCAGTTATTTCTACAAAACATTAGTATAATGTATTTCATTTCAATCCAGAACAGCTGTTTGATCCCATGTGTTTTCTTCTGGCAGTGTTTAAAAACAGCTGTTTTGTTTGCAACCTTTCTTTCTGCCATACTACATTATAGACATATGTGCTAAATTTAAATTTTGGGTCATTTTATTTGGAAAATGAGATTTTGTTTGTTTGTCATTAATATGGAAATAGGTCACAGAAGAAGGGAAGAACTGATAATGGAGATAAATATTACCCAACATAAACATGAGTTGTATATCCCCAAATAAATATCTATCAAGAATGCTAGAGAAAATGTTAAGAAATTTGACTCAATGTCCAGAAAAGATGCTTGGATAGATTGCTGCTAATGTGAAGATATAAATAAAGAAAAAGAAAAGCTTAGCTTATATATTCAGGGCTATCAAGGGGATTTCAATAAAGCTACCTTAGCCAACAGGCTTTGATCAACAGGTTCCTGGGTTCTGTTGTCTTGTGTCATTTCTCAGATGATAAAATAGCTGAAAGTAGGAGTTTCTACCAAGAATATTCACATACACAGAGAACTTCACCAGAAAAAGAAAAAAATTACCTTTGAATGAGACCTTACTCGATTTTGGAGTTTTGAACAATACAAGCACTAAAATTTATCATTTGACATTTACTTTTCCAAATTTTGCAGTACATATTACCAATTAAAATGTATATTATTGAAAAAGCTATACAAACCCCCATGTTCATGAAATATTTCATAAAACATATTATATTTCAAAAAATTATAAAATATATTTCTCTGGTAGACAAAATTGAAAAGAATATAAACATTTGGAGAATCAGCATATGTATTTCAATGAAAACTTAAAACATGGGGGGGGGGGGATTAAATTTGGCAAACCAAACCTGGCAAATTCATAAGTTTAAGAAACTTAAGAGAAAGAAACACTGCAGGGTCTCAAAATGAAGATTCTACCTTCACTGAGGCTAGAAATACCGAAGGGCTGACATTCTTGCACACAGAGCTTGTTCCTGTTCAGTTCACACAGAAACTGGTGATCATTCTGGAATGTCTCTGTAGGAGGTCATCCTACTTTGAGGTGACATGCACATGTCAAATTAGCTCATTTTTTTTAGCTGGACAAAGCCTATGTGGCAAGTTCAAATAGATGTATTTTGGTGGTGATACTTCAGCAAAAGCCTCTAAGAAAAAGGAGAAATACAAATAATAACAGAGAAGAGACTTACTTCATTCAGGGCAGGAAATCTAAGTGGTGTCGAGACTTTCTGTTGTCCATTTACATAAATATAGACAAGACTTTGACCAAAGGGCCTTTTCCCAGGCATGTGAACAATGCATATATTGTGCTGTTGAAAAATTATTTAAGCAAAGAATCATCATCATTTCTATGGAACAGTTATAAGGGGCTAATTGGTGTTCTTTTACATCAAGGAATATTTACTCAATCACTGCCAAACTTCACAAAGGAAATTCAGTAATCATGCTAGTACTCTGATTTTCAAATCCCCAGCATGTTGGGGAACACCCCAATCACAGGGTTGACTATGAAGATGGGATCTGGGGGGGGGGGGGGGGAGAAGGAAGGTAAAAATGTTGGCAATGGGAACACTGTTGTTTAAATTGGTAAAAATGGCTAAAGTTGAAACTGGCAGGAGAGAAAATTTAGAGTATTCCATGAAACTCAAGGGCAAAAAACAGACTGCCCAGATAGTCCCTGATTTTATTCTGAGCTCTCCTACAGATGCATCATTTCCTAGGCTAAATGGGCAGGAATTTTGTAACTATACCCTCACTGCACTCATCTCGCATCCTTGCCCTTCAAAAAATCCCTTAAGTATCTTGTTCTCCTGGTTGTTTATATTGATAATCTCAGGTTAAATGAACATGGGCCACTACAAAGAACCAATGCACATTTCAGATTAAAGCTATGTTCTGCAAAAAATGTTTCCCAGGCTCATTTAAGTCAAGATTTATGCCAGTCAGAATAATGATTTATGAATCATGTACTATAAATATTTGGGCTAGACTTGTGATAAGCAGAGTAGACAATGAAAATATTGTAAAAAACTGTGGCACGTAGATCATCATATCTTGGTTTAATAAGCAAAAACAGTCAGGATCACTGTGTCTGTGCATGCAACCCTTCTCTGCTTTGACAGATGACCCATTGATTAAGTAATTAACCAATCAACCAGTCAATCAATCCTAGTCCCATTCAATTGCATTTCAGATAGTCCATTTTTGTATCCAAATTGGGAAGGTATGACAGTCTGGATGCTAAGGGAAGTTATTCTTAAATGAAGACTTCTAAGCTTAGTACAATGATCGAAGAGAAGATAGGAAAAAGATAAAATAGGAATTAAGAGGGCAGGAAAAATGACTATCTGCATTTTGCTTTAGAGGAATAGTCTAAAGCATGCTAACAGCATGAAACCCATCCCCTTATATATCTGAACAAAATTCAAAATATCTGCTCTTACCCAAAGAGAATCATAGAAGCAATGGTCTGATAGCATCACAGTAGCATACTCCTTCTTTGTACATACAGCAACTACTAGCATTCCAGAACATGTAATGAACGCTTCAAATCCCATCCCACTAGCTGTAAAAAAGCTACAGAGAAAAAACAGGATTTAAGACATGGAATGTTGTGAACTATACGCACACATAACCTATTAATGTACGCATACACACATATTTTCCAGTCCTATCCTGGATCTTTGGTACAGTAGAAAGACTTACTAATTCACATCAGGGGTGGAACCTTTCTTGAACCCGAGAATTAAATTTTTGAGCAGGCAAGCTCTCAGGCAAAATATGAAAAGGCATTCACCCATAGACTCAGAAACAAATACGTAGATTCATAACTCACTTAGCAAAGCAATAATGGAATTGGCAAATAAGGAGAGCTCCGAACATCCCTCCCACAGTTCTCTGTACCCTATAGCCAAAACCGAAGCCCAGTGATCAACAGTTCTTTAAGCCTGGTTTAGAGAATAGGGCATCTTTATTCTCAGATAGTCACACTTAACTTTTTTTTGTGAAGGGGTGGGGGAGGCTGTCACAATTATTCACATCACTGATACTATGCTATGGAACAGTTTATCAGAGATCCTACCCTACTGCACACCCAACTTCCTCAGAAGGTGGCCTGTCTGTTTCTATAAATTTGTTGCAGGTAACATCTTTATAGTACCAACCTTAGGTGCCACTATAATTTCTCTTTATAAAATATTTTATTTTAAGGCACAGAAACTGTGAGTTTAAAGCAGCTTTAAAATGCATAAATATATAGTAAATTATGATCCTACTTCAGTAAGTGGCACTCATCTCCAGTAATCCCACATTAAATTCCAAACATTGTATTATAAACAATATGCCATTGAACATAAATATATCCTCTGGCAATTTGTAGAAGGACATTTTGTAGAAGTACCAGAGGTGGTATTCAGCAGGTTCTGACCAGTTCTGAAGAACTGGTAGCAGAAATTTTGAGTAGTTCGGAGAACCGGCAAATGCCACCTCTGACTGAAGATTTTACATTATCTTTCCCCTGCCACGCCTACCAGGTCATGCCCACAGAACCGGTAGTAAAAAAATTTGAATCCCACCACTGAGAAGTATGTATATCTGTACATTATTTATATAATAATGTAATAATAATAATAATATCTTTAATATCATATAATAATATCTTTGTATATACTTTAGGTTTAAATAACTCAGAAACATTTTCTAAGAAATATCACCCCCAATTGTTTATTGTACAACTGTTAAAAAATACAAATGAAAACACCATTTCTTCTTCTAGCCAATTTTCCTGTATTAATTTTTAATTACCTAGGCCAATTTTTTATTCCACCTGAATGGTTTTGGGGGATTGTATTTTTCTGTGTATTTCCCCAATGCACTATTATTTCCATATTTAGAATTGTTTAGTTTTTTTATTATGCTTTTAATCCACTGTATGGGCAAGTCATTTTTATTAGGTGGCCTTATACATTGAAGTTGCCATTATTTTTATTATTACCTACTGCAATTACCATTATACTTTTGGAGTCTTAGAAAACTAATTAAGAATTCATTAGAAACTCCTAACTTTGGTAACCACAGAGTATGCTATTTGGGACATCCTTTGAAGAAGTCTAGCTTTCTTTGTTTCAAACAACAATAATATTTGATTAGGACAATGCAGTATAGGATACACATAGAAAATTAGTAAGACCAAAAAATATACTCATCATTTAGGCCACCTAGGAAATGTCACTGAACTTAGGCAGATTCTTCACCTTTCCATCCTGGAAGCCATACCTGTAAAGTTGCTTCCTCTTGCCACCCTTGCTGCTAGCATCTGGAATCATTTGATGTTGATCCAGGCAAAGCCATGCATTGAAAGCAAATGCAGAACCTGGCCACTTGTGAATAGCCGGCACTGCTATGCCTGTCATGCTATGGGACAAGTCAAAATACTGCAAGGCGTTGTCCAAGCTTTGCTTTCGAGCCATTGTGAGAATTGCACGCATCACAGGAACAATGTACGGATGAGCCAGCTTTGAGTCCTTAGTCCTTAGCAGCTGAATCAGCTCATGCAGTTCTTCAGAGCTCACTGACAGGCTTCCCAAAGAACCCAAGAGGGCAATCAGGTTCTCAGCACAAGCTCCATGGAGTTGAGGGTGCTTGTTGAGTGTTTCAATGATATGGATGACCATGTTTGTGTTGACACAAATTGCACGACTCTGCCTGTTAATACAGCAAATCCGCTTCAGCAAATTTGAAATTAAGATTTGGAGATCATGTAACTCCATCTCTGGAAGCCATTGGATTAGCAGCAACAAAGGCTGAACGTTGCTTATGCCCAACATTCCAACTGATCCATGGTCACCTTCAACCGCCTTGGTGAAAAGCAAATTAAAGATTACTACAAGCACTTGACATATGTAGAAACTCTGCTTAACAACAATATTTTTTAAGACAGAATACTGTAAGGAATCTTGTGGCCCCTCAAAGATATACTGATTTTTCTCCAGCAATAATTTTTGCTGAGGTTTGACAGATCTCTATTATTGGATTGTCTAACTCTCTACAAAGTTTACATATTAGTAAGCCTTTAAAATTATACCTTTTAATTTTTTATCTGCTGCAATAAAGTAAGAGAGGTTTAGATAATGGGGAACATTTAACTGTTAACAAGATCCCTGAATGAGCAGAACACGTACACATGCTTATGTATATAAAGTACATATGTTTACATATAAGTACATACTTTTATGAATTCATAAAATCCATTAAACAAAAAAAGAAAAGAACTGGAATTAAATAGCAATAAGGGACATTCTTATGCAAATCCAAACTGTAACTAAGATAAGAGACACAACCAAGTCCTGTTTCATTAGTTTGCAAAACAAACTAACATTGTCATTTTAATTTATTCCTCTGTGTGTGTGTGTGTATGCAAACTGTAGGTTATATCTCAAGCAACATGTCACATAATTTGGAAGTATCAAAACTAAATCTTGTTAACCTTTAAAGTGGCAGAAAATTCTCTGTTGTTTTGATTGCAATAATTTAACATAGGTTTAAAATTATATTCAAAACAAGAAAAATACCACACCATATTCAGAAGTTCTTCAAGTAGTTCCTGTGAAGGCTGACCCATAGATTTTAGAACTTCAAATATATGGGCATAACCAATTCGTTCCTTGAACACTTCCTAAAGAGTAAAACCATCAGTATATATTAGCAGCATATAGCTAAGAAAGGCAATGTTTATTCATAACAAATAATAAATATGTATCAATTCAAATTCCATTAGTATAAGCATGCATACTTTATATACGTGCTCCCATATGTGCATTTTCACAACTTTGTCAGCCTGTCATATTTTAAGGGAATTCTAATATATATGGAATCAAAATTCAATCAACTTGCTTTTTCTTAGTAATCAATATAAAACCAAATTTCCCCCCATTAGTTAATATAATACTAATAGCAGCCACTTTTAGTATGGTCAATAGCCAAAGTTGAATGTATTTTCTTGACAAATGTTTTCAGAGTTGAAAAATACAAATAGGATAGAAAATGACTAAGAAAGTTGCATGGAACAAAGGAAAAGGTTTAAAAAGTAGATTACAGGAGTAGGAGTTCAAAATAATTCAAATGGCAAAAGTATTTACGTGTTAAATGAATGTGATTGTGCTTTGCTATAAACAGCTACTGAGATATTCAAACACTCATTATAATAACTAAAGGTTGACATGGTCAAGAATTACCCCAGATAAGTATAGTAAAATAATCAGATTCAATATCAGGGTAGCAAAGCTGAGCTGCCATACAATTGAAGTTGGGAACATTTTTACTAGGTCATTACTGAGTTATCCACTAAATGATGATGGGCAAGAATGTTATGTTCCAAGTTTCCACCACATATTGCAAGAAAAGAGAGATCAGGTCTTTGTTCTCAAGAGAGTAAAAAGGGGAGGATCAGAAGATATGGGCAATTGATTCAACTTCCTTCAGTGGGCAAGAACAGAGATATTCTGCAGAGGAATGCCATTGAATTGACTTTTTAGAATCGTAAAGAACACATCCTATCTAGCCAAAGTGAAGGCTGTGATAGGCAAAAGCTATCTGAAAGAGAGGAGATTGCCAGAAAAGATCTAGTGATAATCAGTTCAACTGTAAATATCCTGTGGCAGAATAAGACACTGAAGCAAAACATTGACATACAGTGACACCATAGGTGAAGAACAGGCGAAGAACATAATTTTTAGGTGCTCTGCTACCATATAAGAATAAAACAAACCACAGCCTGACATTTGTATACTATCATATTAAGATGAAAAGTTATTACCTAGATCTTTTGTTGAGGGGCTAGATTTCTTAAAATACTTCTTCATAATTTAAAAATTACCACACCTGCCATCCAATCTAGTCCCCTTCATTTTGCTAAATGGTGAGATCTGCCTTAGTAGCATTGCCTCACTGTACTGGCATTTGTTTGGTTGCATTTTCTGTACTTTGTTTCAAACTATAATATGCACTATTGTTAGTCCTCATCATTTCAGCAAGTACAATAAAAGAGCTATCCAAAGACAAGAATTCCAACTGCTCTGAGGAAGCCATGCTGACCTTGGCAGCTGGAGAGCTGTGCATCACCGCTGTGAGAGCCTGAATAGCTGATACTGCCAAACGGTCCAGCTGCCCCTGGAATACCTAAAACCCCAAAAAAGATACAACACATTAGGCATATAAGGACAAATTTGACACTCCAATGAGCACACTCCACCCTTTTTGTGCCACAATGAAGAAAAATGTTCCTTGGCATGCTTCCCAATCATCAACCCAGAAAAAGAATTGGATTTTATGATATCACAACCTATAAGCAGGAAGACACAAGAGAAGGGAAGCCATTTCAAGGAGAACAGAACCCTTCACATGTACTTATTTAAGACAATCTGATGGACAGCTTTTCCTCATGCTTTAAATGGACAACCTCAAAAGAGTGGTATGAAAAAGGGAGATCTTTGGAGCTTCTTATGAAGCAAATTTTGTCACACATGTTGGTGAGAAACAGGTCTTAGTGGATAGTTGGGGTAGTATTAAAGTGTACATAAATTAATTCCTTACTTAAATTATATATTCACTTCACAGCCCATTCCTCACAAGCAATATCACAGTATTTTCCTTTCAAAAGAACTATAAATATTTTGATTTCTTTATCTCATTAGTAGACAGTTTTACTGTTTAAAATATATTTGTATATTGTCCTTCAAATCAGTTGGTTAATTTGTGAGCCTCAACAATAAATAAAGACTATTTCATCTGCAGTGTAATACAGCAGAACAAATGTATGTAATATATTATTTGCAATACTTTGCAATAATGCTTGAAGTTTCTCATGCATTGTTTACATTAACTTTTAACTATATGCAAACTTTTTATATTGAGGCCTCTATATCTTTTATTAAAGAAGCAAAAAAAATAGAACTGACATTGTTCAGTTCTTCATAAATATCAAAGGAAATGTTAAAAAATAAATCTATCAATTACATCTCCCTTCTCAGATTCAGACTGTCCATTGAAATATGAACTCTAATCTTTCGGCAACAGAATCAAGATTTCAAGAAAGAATCAAGAAAGTTACACCACAGTGCACAGACAAACAGATGAAAGAGTGGAGGGAGAGAGTCAAGAAAGGAGGGACAAGTAACAAAATAAAAACAAGAATCACCCAGTTGATTGTTTTCAAATTTGAATTCCATTCTTGGACTTCACTTTCCTCAGTTTTAGAAAAAAGACATGGAGTATTATATGGATACTTTGTATCTCGAAGCACAGTGAAATTTAGATTTAACACATGGGTTTTGGGTTAACTAAAATAATAAATTTTGTGTGAATATTGCATGTGAATAAGTCAAAACTCATCTAGTTCTTTCAGGAAGCATATTCAAAGTGAAGTCCAGGAAACAGTTCATAACCACCTGCATGAGGACCTTCAGCTAAGAACAGAACGGAACTCGCAGGAGATACCTGTTCCTGATTCATTTCTGCCAGCAATTTGTTGGCATGGTCTTTCTCATTCTTGTCTGCCACCTTATTATTAGCATTTAAAAATAGCTGTTAAAATGGAAGATAAGAATAATGGTAACAGAAGTGTTAGTTAGCTCACAACAGCCAGTGTAATAAATTCATAGCTTTCCTTAACCTCAATATCTGTATATTCCAAATTTGGCAACTGTAAGTTGTATGGACTTCAGTTCCCAGAATTCTCCAGGCAATGTGCTGGCTGAGGAAATTTGAGAGTTGAAGTCCATACATCTTAAAGTTGCCAAATTGGTAATACATTGGGCAACAAACTTCATCATCCCCAATCAGCATATAATGAGAAAGAGGAGATGTCTAACACATCTAGACAACCCAATGTTGGAGAATAATCTCTCCATGTCAAATTAATGGGATATGGAAAACACAGTTGCCAGGGAACAACAGGTTGCTGACTTAATGGCACTGTGCCTAAGAGGTAGGCTATGAACTAAAGGCACCACAAACCTGTTAACTGATTTTGCCTGCATGGCTGACTTTTTTTTTTTACCTTAAGGAGCTACCTGAGAGAATGTTAGTGAGATTAGCTCAGCATTTTTAAAAAACCAGTAAAGGAAATCTTCACTGAAATAAAATCCTAGATCAGTCCAGTACTTTTATGGCACTAGGATGAAAAACAATGGAGGAGAGTTTGTTCCAAGTTCCTACTGTCCCCATGGTCAAAATATTTAAATATCTTCCAGTTTTCTTGTCAGAATCCAGCCAACTTGAATATATTTCAAAATGCATGTTTAATATAAGCTTAAAACAAAACATAACTTACATGTTGTATGCACCCCTACAAATTACCAGAATATTTATAGCATGTACTGTAAGGGTTCTCTTTGCTCAAAGAAAATAATTTGTTGCTCTTTTCGAAATGAGCTCATAGCAAAA